GAATCAAAGCCTGATGGTCATGAGGACAGTTACTCATCGATGACATTGGGTGGTTTCCTTTGTTCTTCCAACTGATGTCAGTCTATGATGAATAACAACTTGAAATTCTGATTTCACTTGCCTCAGATAAACTGTTTTCCAGTTTTTCTAGGTAACGCGTTCTAGTTTCTTGATTTCCTCATCGAATTTGAAAGTCGAAAATGCTTCAGTGTCAAGTGGATACTCCTAAACTGATATAAATTGATATAACACTGTTTTTTTTTTCTTAAACTTAATTTTGATTAGTGTTTTGTAACCTCGTTTATCTTCTCATAACTTGTGATAAAATCAATTTAACAAGTTTATTCATGCCTTATCATTGATTCATAATGGAATAGAAAACTGATATCTGAATAAGTGGAACTGAAAAAGAGACGAATAGAGTATTCGATTCCCTTAATTGTTGATAACAGTGTTTACAACCTTTCTATTCTATGAGATGAAAAATTTTAATCATTTCGAAAATGAAGCCGATTGACCTTCTGAATGAATATTCGACTTTTACTGTTCACAGTTTATTCAGCATTAAAGTGTTTTATTTGAAGGTGTTGTCTGTAAGAAAGTCATCATACAACAGAAGTCGCTAACAGAAGATAAGCTGCACTATAGAAGTATGTTGGTAAAATGTTCAACACTATTTCATCTTGTAGATTATCAACTTACTTCCATTTCATACTCACACTTTTCAAAATCATCTGCTTACTGATAGTGTTATAAGCAAGAAAAACCAAGCTCAGCTTTATTTCCATGAGTAAAGTTATATTCAGCTGAGTAGATAGTCAGTTAGATAAATAGAGTGAAAAGCCGTGTAGTTCAGCAGTTATCAATCAGCCACTATTATACATTTCTACTGATACTTCCGAAAATATTCTCTCATGAAGTGTGCTTTGTACCAGTTTCAGTATCATGAGTTATCATGTTTTCGTTTCATTAGGTAGGTCAGTTTAATCGCCTAATATGTTATTAATGGATGTTGTATTCATATGAATGCGTATTTGGTCTTCAATTGTGTATTTCCAAGTACTAGTCAATGTGTTCCATGATTTTACGATCCGCAATTAGTTTTATATCTCTGAAATGTCTTCACATAATTAAACCACTTCTGGAGTCAAGGTAAGGAAGAGTATTGATCGCTTAGCTCAAGGCAGTGTTACTATTATTCAGCTGTTATTCATCAATTTCTGGTCATTTCCACACATCAAGCAGATGATATTAAAGTTTAACTACTGCTGCCTAGAAGTTTCAATAGTCTAGCATTTTTTATTATTATTATTTGTCCCTTGGATTCCTGATGGGACATAAGGCTTCAGTAGCACACCCCCATACCACTCCCTTCTCTGCAATCTTTTGAACCTGGCTCCACTACAGCCCACATACTCTCATTTCCTTCTCACACCATCTCCTCCATATCACCCTCGCCTCGGATACCCAACTCGTCGGTTCCCATCTGAGTTCCACTCTACGGTCTGGCCTGGCCTCCCATGTGACGTCCCCGAATGGTCTTCTCAGTGTATGCCTAATCCATCTTCACTTCCATCCACAACATATCTGTCCAGTGATAGCTTCTTGCTTAGTTGGTTCGTCACCTGACAGACTTCCTTCTTGCTTATTCTTATTATTCTGGACATCTGATCTGAGCATCAGTAACGAGCCAGTGTAGGCAGTTGTTCATGAATATCTATAGTCTGTTGGAAATGCTTTCCGTGACTCGCCATGTCTCTCAACCATCACACAGAACCACTGAATTGACTGACTTAGTGTTGAAAATCCACATCTTGTTCACGCATTGTGTTGAGTGCAGTCGTTCTCCACACTGGTTCAGGCTAATGAAGGCCTATCTTGCTGTCCTTCCGATCCTGGCTGGCTTTGACATCCTCCTCTGTGCCTGTGCTGCCCGTAGTTGAAACGGTGCTGCCTAGATAGGTGAAGGAGACTACTTCCTTAAGGTTTCTCTCGTTGGTGGTGATTGCAGCTTCTTGTTGTTGTTGGTTGGGTATCTTCATCACCTCTGTCTCCTCTACGTTCACTTGAGGCAAGTCCCGTCTTCGCTGCCTTCCCTTGCCTTGCCTTGCCCTTCCCTGCCTCTTCTGTCAACTTGTTAGCTTTTGCCTGTACATCTTCAAGTTTGTGTGACATCAGACACAAGTCATCGGTGAAATCCAAATCCCCCAGGATCTTTTCCCCGAGTCAGCCAGCCAGCCATCCTATCCCCTCTTCTCGCTCCTCACTACCGTCTGCTGCATGATCCAGTTGACCACAGTCAGATCAGGAATATCATGGGTGGTAGCAGACAGCCTTGTCTTATTCATGTATGTGCTCACTTCAAAGTCATCACTGAGCTGAGCTTCGAATTGTGAATTACTTGGCATGTGACGTCTTCATATAGTTGTTGAATGAGATTGATAAATGTTTGTGGCATTCCGTAGTGTTGGAGCAGTTGTCCAATTACTTGTCGGTCGACGCTGTCGAAGGCCTTTTCAAAGTGGATGAAGTTGAGTTTGGGTTGAGTTGACTACCATTCTGTGATCTGTTTTATGATGATCTGTGGCGTAGCATTACAATGTGATCTGCACATGATTTGTACTTCCTGAAGCCAGCCAGCCAGCCGGTTTCGGTCATAGTTTTGAATCCAGTGCACCCCTTAGTCTATCCAGGATGATATGGCAGAATATTTTGCTCGCTTTATGTAGAAAGGAGCATGATTCCATACCAGTTCTTGCAAACATTTAGGTTCCCCTTCTTCGGGAGTTTGACAAGGTAGCCCTTCTTCCATTCAATGGTCAGGTACCTTTCCTTGCTTCCAAACCTTCTGCAATAGTGGTGTGGTGTGAACATGTCCACTGTTGTCTCTGTGTCTGTTTTCAGTGTTTCTGGTTGGATTTTATCTGGTCCTGCTGATTTTCCACATTTCAGTAGCTTTATGGCGTTCAGGACTTCAACTTTTGTTGGAGGATTTGTGTTCACGTGTAGTTCTGTGGTTGCATATGGTATTTCTGTATGAAGTGCAGGTAGTGTTCGATTCAAGAGTTTTTTGAAGTGGTCAGAGCATCGTTTCCTTTGTTTCTCTTCTTTTGTAATTAGGTTTCCTTCATCATTGTACTGATTTCAAATTTTTGTCGGCTCTTTTCGTCAATACAACATCCACCTTTACACTCCGCATTATCTCCTGATATTTATTCTGTCTAGTGCAGGGGGATCAGTAGTGTTGGCAATAATAAACCGGCGATAGTGTATCGAGAAGGATACATAAATTTATTGTCAGATATCAGAGCTCGACAACAGCTTCCAGTTATACTTATGAATTGTGTTTATTCATTTGTTTGTAGAGCGTAGGATATGATACTACTTCTCTGAAGATGGTGACAAAACGTGTATGAATCAGACAGAGAAAACTGTCAGCACATAGAGTTGCGAAATCGAGAAGTATGCGAAAAACTCTACACGACATTGAGAAAGCCAAAAAGTATACAGTAAGATGAAATGGTTTATAGGTTGAACATTCGAATTATTTTGGTACACTGAACAATTTGTTTGCATTCAATACTGGTAATGTAACCATTCTGGTTGGCAAAGTCTACCAAATCAAAGGACTTCAAGAGACATCTTCAGTGAAATCCACTGATGAACATCAGTTGTGCACTGCGTACACTAGTCGTTGGGACGCAAAAATATTCAAATAACTTCTTCAAGATTCATTGTGGGAAAGAATTCTTGCAAGTTGACTTGTGGTCAGGGTTAAGCTCTGTGTTTCTCTCTAAGTGCAAAATCTGAATGAAAATTTCCTCATCTTCGGCTTCGTAGTTATACTTTACTGGGAATGAATTCAATAATAAAGTCTTTCAAAGACTCTGTCACCTTAAGCATCAAATATTATTCATAGCCAATATCAGTTAATGAAAAATTCCTTGTCATGCCATGCACCAACTACTTTGAGAGCAAGACTACAGACAGAGAATATTTGAGATCTACGATTAAAGGATCTCAAAAATCCGGTTAACATTTTCCGCCTAACTCTAAGGAAATATTTTCATCCCGAAGTCTGTAAATTCATTGTTACTTGTCCCTTGGATTCCTAGTGGAACATACGGCTACAGCAGCACGTCACCATTTCACTCTCCTCTCAGCGGTCTGTACAACCTGGCTCTACGACTGCCCACAAGCTTTCATTCCTTCCTCACAACTTCTCCTCCTCCATGTCACCCTCGGACGCCCAACTCGTCATCCCCCTTTTGGATTCCACTCGACGGTTTGGCCTCTCACACGATGTCCCCGAATGGTTTTCTCAATGTATGCCCAATCCATCTCCACTTTCCTCTACAGATTTGTTGGTTGATCAGTTTTTAGTTGGTTGGTTCGTTGACAGCCACAGTGAGTTCCTTGTTGCTTATTCTGTCTACCCATCTCATCTGCTCTTCAGTAACGAGTGTAGGCAGCTGTTGATGAATGTCTGTAGTTAGTTAGAAATGCTTTTCGTAACGCTCCAAATCTCTCAACATTCACATAGAAGCACTGACTTACTTGACTGATTTATTGTTGAAAATCCGGATCTTGTTCTTTATTCTAAATGCAGTAGATCACCACACTGATTTCAGATTAATAAATGTCTGTCTTGCTGTTTTTCCGATCCTGGCTGGCTTTGACATCCTCATCTGTGCCAACTGTGGTTGAAACAATGCTGCCTCCTTGGTAGGTGGCAGATGAAAGAGACTACTTCCATTAGGCTTCTCCCGTTGATGGTGATTGGTGCCTGTTGTTGTTGTTGTTATTGTTGGTTGAGTATCTTCATCACCTCTACCTCTGTCTTCTCTACGTTCACTTGAAGTCCCGTCTTTTCTGCTTCTTCTCTCAACCTGTTGGTTTTCATCTGTAGAACTTCGAGTTTGTGCGACATAAAACATTAGACATAAATCATCATCGTTGGCGAAATCTACATCCTTTAGTCTCTTTTCATCGATCGACAATCAATAATTATTCATAATACCTTCAAAAACTGAAACACAGCAATAAAGATCAAAATGAACCAGTTACCTGAATAGTTAGGTATCTGAGTAATCATTTCAGACCTTTCTAGACACCCACTGGAACGATGAACATTGCGATGAGTGGTCACTGCTCTCTTTATCAACCTCTTCTTATTGACTTGTGCTTCAATCTCTGAATGCTTGTCATTAAATGTACCACATTTATCAATGGACGGTTTTGTTCTTGGCCGGTTTTGTCTCTGTGGTGGCGTAGACTCTTTGGCATTTGATTTATTACCAACAGGCTTGTTGACACACTGTCCACTCAAATCCCCATCTTCTCCGAATGCATCTGTCAATATGGAAGGTGTATCTATGTCCCAGTCATCTGGCATTGAATCCGGTTAGGTCTAAAAGAGGTAAACATTTCTCTATTTATTTGAAACTATTGACACCCCAACTGAAAACAGACAACTGAATATAAAGCTTGGGATTATATAAAAAATCTGTACTCGGAGTTATGGGTGCATGCTGCTGAGGAATCGCATTCTACAACGAAACACCTGTTGTCCAGTGCTCCCAAGTCTTCAACAGTTCTTCAAATGATGTCAGTGCATGACAAATACTACTACCACCCTAAAACATAAGCAATATGGAAATTAAGGATATTAGAAATCCACACACACACATGGTGTCTACCCACTTACCAATGTCTCTGATGAAGCTGCTTGATGTAAAAAGTCTTCAAGTTGGTTCACTATACGTTGCCTTAAGTAGTATGCATCTCGAGCACGTAATAATTTCAGCTTTTGCTCCAATAATGTATATCTCAACTTAGTGGCAAGAGTTTATCTTGTCGCAGTGTTAGCTGGTTGTTGAATTTCACAAGTTGAACAGTCTGCAATCACCTGCGTTTTGTCAGTTGGAGTAACAGTTGGAGGCTTCAGTTCACATCCATTCAATTGACAAAATACATTTGAAGGAGAGATTTCCCTTGTCGGTTTCAAATATGCACGACAATCTAGTTGTATCCTGTACGTCACACCACCACAGCCGATACTTTCGACGGATAAACCTCCAGTTTGACCTGAAACATTTTATGTACACAATCAATATGTTAATAGGCTTACATGTGTCAAGAATAAAGTGAACAACATACTTAGTTAAAATGAGGAAACGTTTCACTACAAGATTTAACTTTTTGATAGTTTAAATAAAGTAACTACTACTACTACTCACACTACTACTACTACTACTACTAATACTACTGATATTACTACTACTACAAATATTACTAGCCCTTGTACTTGACTTCTCCATAGCACTAACACACTGAATGTATGAATATGTGGGATAACACTGGGCTTTGCAGATGTGTACATCATTTTCAATCTCTGAATGGAAAACCAACGGAAGTTTTCTGATCGGAATAGAACTTGTCAATACTGATGAAGTAGACAGAAAATAATCTCCAGTCGAACAAAGTTTACAATTGGCTTGTTGTTGTTTTCGTTGTGATTGATCGTCATTATTCTGACTTTTCATAGTTTGTAGGGATGCTGTACAATATTCGACTGTTTGGTTAAAATGAGACGTAAATATTGGTTGAATGTGATGACAATGTGCTACAGATGACGGCTGACTGCTCCCCTTCCAACCACAGCAGATTGGCACAACAGTTTCACGTTAAAAATAAAGAAGCAGCACAACAAAGAGTCAGAGAATAGAAAAGAAATCGAAAGATGTTCGCGTCGACGTCCAACAGTCTGTCACTCTGCACAGCTGTGAGACATCAGCGTTGAACGTAGAAGATATGAAGCGATTATATGGTTTCGATCACAGATATCTTCGTAGTATTGCTTGTATTTGTTGAAATCATCGTGTGACCGTGTAACCGATTTCCAGCCATATCAGTAACAGTCCTGAACCACTGATTTCTTTCGTCTCAGTAATCCTAATCAGGCAGTCTACATTTCCCCACATAACTCAGACTAGCAGTCACAGAATTTATCGACTAGTGCTACATCTTCGTCTGACCACTCTCAACCTTCTACTAACTTAATCAAACTTCTCTTAGAGTGACACGTCGAGATAGGTGATGGTTACTCGGCACGCATAGCACATGTCCAAGCTACCCCTGTCGATGAAGTCTTACAAATTCACTGATCCACCTGACCTGATCTCAACATTCCTGACATAGTTATTCCACCATACATGAGGAATGCTGCACAGATACACACCTGTGAATAAAACCTTAACCTTAGCCAGCCACATCATATCTTCTGCTTTTAACCGCCATCTCTGACAGCTGTGTGGTGTGGTAGGGTAGAATTCACTGTAGCGCAGTACTCTTGCCTTGCAATCACTCTCCTGAATGTCCTCGAAATAATTTTCCCAAATGAAGGAGTGTAGCCTAAAAGAGTTCATGCTTTTCATCTACTATATCAGACGAATAACAATTTCCAAATGAAAAATTCAACATTGATCATTGGTTTCATCTCTTTCAGAGTCAGATTCACATCCTATCATCCACACATAACACAGATAAACTTTATCTTCTCTCACTGAACTAAAATTATATATGAATCATTAATTGTATAAAGTACATTTTGGGCACTACTGTCCAATATACCATTGAATTCAGTTTGCTCAAGTAGATCTTCTTCTTTGACAGCGTTCTGTTCAACTGGATTAACAGAAAACTTCTTAACATTCTGTTTTATAGATATCATATCTGTATAGTTCACTAGTGTGTTGTTGCACTGTGGTACAGTAGTCTCTGAAGGAATAAAACACTTCAAAATAACAGAACAAAACTCGAAAATTTTTTCACAATTAAGGCTAAAAGCCATTCTGGTAAAAAGTGAAATAGGCAATTCATTTTCTTTTGTTCTACCTGAATAGGCAGATTTTCAAGCAACCTAGAAATCTAATTGGCTGAAAGTGAAAGAGATGATATGATCCAAAGATTTTTTCATAGGTGTCTGTCTTCGTAGCACTGCTCATGTTTGATGGAACCATCTTGTGAACAATGTTGAAGTCAAACGAAGAGTACTAGGCAAGATATCCAAGTCGATAGTCAAGGTTTTGAACCTGAGTTAACTGAGATGTCTTGGACATCTACTGCACGTCCTGACCCATCGCATACCTCGATGCCCAATGTTAGCTGAAATTGGATTACGTTGAAGATGATTCAGTGTGGTCAGGCGAAGATGTGGCACCAACCGATGAAAATCTCTGACTGTTAGTTTGGATCGCGTTCAGAGATGGAGACTACTTGATTATGGTCGTCCAGACGATAGGAATCACTGGTTAAGGACTGTGAGTGACATATCAGAAAATCGTTGGTAATGACCCAGATGTATTCGCTCCTTGATATCCTCTATATCTTGAAATTTTGCCCTACTACTTTTATATGAGTCTTTTTCTATTCATATGTTCTTTTTAGACTATTGTGAAGTTTTGCAATTTGAACTGATCCACTTGTTTGGTCTGAGGTTACACGTTAATTTCGTTTGCTGATCTTTCAACTGAAAGTGATGGGCTGTCATGTATCACTCTTCTTATTGTTTACGCTTTTTCTTACGATCTGTATAACCGGAGTTTATCTGAACAATCCGTTATTGGTCGGCAAGTGTGTGGAGATATACACTGACTCATCCCTATTGTGCTCTGGCATCTACAATCATTTCGTATAAATACTTTCTTCTGGAAAATGTTTCACATGAAATTCATCTCCTCTTTTCACACATGTAAACAATCTGACCAATGTCAGTATGTCTCGGTCTCCATCGATTCTCTAATTCATGTTTCAAGAATTAAATTTCCAGTTCAGCTTTTCAATATATCCTACTCTGTGCCTACTCAACTCTTGATTCAATCTCCAGTTCTTTTTGCAGTTTCTGTTCCCTTTATGTTCTTACTGTCCTCAATGATCATGTGTAATGGAGATCTAATATGTCATACATCATCAATCAACGACTTATTTCAGTGTAGTCTGTTGCTTCCATGATCTTGGATGAAAGTGGAAAGGGTAAATAAATCTCAGACCGATAAGTGTTATTGGTTGTGTATTACTTAATTTATTTTAAAAGTCATTTTTCTACTAATGACTTGATTAGTAACATTATTGTACAGCTTATCCAGCTGAACAGTCTTCGACTGACTCCTTATTCATTCATGTATAACATTATTGTCATTATTATCAAAATTGAAAATCTCGGTTATATTGAGAGGCATCCGAGTACAAGAGCCTATATACCAATATTGGCTGATTAATTCGCTCCAATGAACCACGAAGATATTATTAACAAGTAGGAGAATTAATGTTCACTTGAGACACAAATTCATACCCCACTTGTCATACTACCAACACTAATTAAGTAGTTTAATATGATACTCATCTTTCAAATTAGTTCAACCTCAAGAAATGTAACAAGACTAACTGAATTATGCCGTAATTATTCATTTCAGTATTTCTGCTCCTGCAGTGTTTATTACATTGCCTGTAGTTTGCACTCAAGTTTACAATGTATTCGAGAACACTATGTAGTTTGGCTAGCAAAAGTAGAATTCAGACAATTCATTCAATCTCTCCTACAGTCTTCAAAAAAGTCTATCAACGGAAGTCAACTGAAGTCACTTTGGTATACCTGAAACACTAGCCATAAAGAAGTTCAAACTAGCGATATGTGTCAAGAAAATAAGTTCAACCTTTAGCTTTACCATAGCCAACAAAGAGCTTTGACTGGTCCCTATATTCTAAACCTTCATTTTATTGCGTCACTTTCTTTTGTTATTCAAAAACATTTTGACTCGGGAAGAGAATTTATCTTGGAATTAATGTTACATCCACTGTAACAAGATATATTCACAAGTGTACATCTTAGTGAATGACTTTCTCAGACAAACAAAAAAAAGTTGAATCAACAAACGATCTCGCACACAACTTCATCGATTCAACACTTGTCACATCTCACAGTAGAATCAGAGTGACATTGAATTAGACTAAGTTATGTGAGAGAATAAACAGTCAGAAGATAAAAGTTAATGCGAATATTCAAGCTACAGTAGATACCAAGGAGTGAATACATCTGCGCCACTGGTATTGATTTTTAATCATGTCACCAAGTATATTACTCTGTTCACCTTGAATCCTGATCCAACTCAAAGCAACTTCCCCTAGCATTGCACTCCAGAGTAGATGGTGGTGGCTCAACATGTGTCGTACGTGTTCAATCTATCTCAGTCAACTAAGGTTCCCAACCACATAAATCGATTTGCCTGTCTTACTTAGTAACCATCACCCGACTTCAACACTGCTCACACTGTGATTCCAAGAAACGTAATCAATTCTACAAAGATTGACACCTATGATGAAAATCCTGTAACCGCTTCTTATCTTCTACTAAATGACATTGTAGGGGATAGAAAACATTTTCTTCCCTGCAACTGTCTTTTGGTATCAGTCATGCATGTGTACTACCATGAATGGCGCAATTAGTCATTGGTTCACAACTCCTTATACTAAAACATAAAACATTTGACCTTATCAAGGAATGATGCATTACACTGTCGTAAAGTCGATTACAGATAGCGCATACCAGACAGAAGAGTTGTCTTTCATGTACAGCTTAAACGAACCAGCATACTCATTATTTGTGATTTCACTAAATTACATCGAAAATCCATTTAGAATTAGGCTAAATGATCATTAAATAGCCGATGGAAATTTGAAGCTGAACAAGTAACTGGTTGGTTTCAAAACCTTCGGTGGTGAAGTTTCCTGCTTACTTCATGTCTTTCGAAAGTTTCTACTTTACAGTTCAATGTCTGACTGAATGAGGCCTCCTTCTGAGTCGTATTCAAAGACGAAACAGCTGTCCAGTGCTTCCGATCAATTCCCACCGGTAACTCCTTTCCTACCTTGTTCTCGTGTATTGACAGCCTGAAGTCGCTCTTCCTTCCCTGTTTTATACCTTCAGTTTTATACTACTCAGTACTATTAAGTAGCACAATTCATGGTTTCCACAACTTGACTGTTCACAGATTTTTAATCGTCTCTTGATCATTATTTAATGCGCCTAGATATTCGAACATTTCCCGGGATATGATGCCAAAGGGATGTGTATTGTTGTTCTCTGATGTACTGTGCTACATGGAACATTTGTACGCGCGTCTTTTACATTCCCTTTCGATTTGCTTCGGACACAGATTTGCTGCTTTTTCCTATTGACGTATTCTCTGTAAGATGGTGCTTTGATGACAGCGATACGACTACAGATGCCTCACAATTCAAACTTCACACCTTACTAGTCACAGCTGGGCAATAATGAATAATGCAGAGAGGAATTTAAACACACAATCCTTCCAATTCAACTACTGTCTGGTACTAACTAACTTCTTAGTGAAATGCTTCGAGATGAGATTTACTGAAGTTCCAGTGAAGAAGTGTAACCTGTGAATAATCATTGGGCTGTCCCAAAACGTGACACAGATACGAAAACACAGACTAATGGCTGTCTCAAAGATAAGATGAGAGCTACCAGACCTGATGATACTAAGTACAGCCCCTTTTATGGTAGATCGTCAATGCGCACTGCTGAGGAGTCTCATACAAGCATAAAACAGCTGTTCAGTTCTCCCAGGAGTCAATCGATGATGATTGTTACTTTAAGATGACCGATGGAATTGACGACTATTGCATGGTAGCTGAGCCTTCTAAAACTTCATCATAATCCTCACTGTAACTTCCAAAAAACCCTATCCTTCTATCCAATGTACAATCTCAGTCATTCTATGCATGTCTAACGAATATCAAGGATTAACAACATAATGCCTTTTGAAATTATCGAACTATAATTCATAAATCATTCCACAGTGGTCCATGCAAATAATTAAGCACCAATAGGTGACCACTTGACCACTTTCTCATCTACATATCACAGTTCAAATAGTTTCGTCGTTTGCGGTCACTTGGATGAATATATTCATCGGACTTTATTTTTCTCTGAGCATTAAGAAAAAGTAGAAAACTTAACCGTAATCAAAAACCATAGCTTTCATAAAAAAGAAATCACTTCCCACGATTGCTGCGTTGAAGGTTATTTGGGAGTAGATCTGAAGGATGACGAAATTCTATAGTTCCACTAGTTTACTTCAAAATAGGTAAAATGTGTTGTACTTTTTTACTTCAATAATTCAACTTACGACAAATTTGATCTTAAGTAAGTAACTGATAAGCAGTTGAGGAGGAACCGGTGTTATGTGAAGGTATATACTCGCACAAATCCATTGTAGTAAATGACGAAGAAGAGGACTCTACAGTCTCCACTGGTTACATGTTACAATACGTGATGATTGGACTTCCAGAGGTGTAAGAGGTTGCAGACATATTAGCTTATTGTACATTGTGACCAGTTGGATTATTTACCTTAGGAATAAATAAAAAAAAAATACATGTACACATCAGGCCATCATCGAAGCTCCATCATTCATCAGGTCACTTAAATGTCACATTCACCTCTTATACAACGAGTATCACTTATTATTAGTTGGATAGGGGAAATCACCAGGAAACCAGCCCTGTGAGACCTAGATTCCATGCTTTTCGGCATTCGTCGTCAGTAATGTGTATCTGTAACCTCGAGGGGACTGTTCACCCAATAGGCATTCGAACTGACGTCAGTCAGCTACATTATCACTGAGCGACTGATTTCCTCTTAAAAATTGAGTTAGGTGTATTGATACTTGCGATTCCCCCCCCCCACCCACCCACCCCCCTATTATACTGAATCAATGTACACGTAGTTGTTATTCGATCATTTGTCAGTCTATGTTTATGGCATGCTGAGTTATATTAAGAAAACAATGAGCTGAGGAGTTTACGACAACGTAATCCATCCATCCATCTATCGTACACACACACACACACACACACACACACACACACACACACATACAGATATTATGACTATATTTGAAACTCACAGTTTTATATGCACCTTCTTCTACTTCTTCCCTACATAGAAACAATGTTTGACGATTTCCAATTTCTTGTGAGCCTTGTAGAATAGGCATTGAGGTAACATTTGTTGGTAACTCAGCTGTTTGGGTTGATGTAGGTTGAAGGCTGTGGTTACAAGAAGTAAGACCACTGGTCAAAAAACCATTTCAACACCAAAATACTAAGCCATCCACAGGAGTTAGAAAACGGACCGTCCTACCATAACACCAAGAACACACCAGAAGTCAAGACAAGATTACTGAGACTAAAGGAGAAAACAGTCAAAGAAGACAAGTCAAATATCATCAACTGCAGTAATAGTGATCAACACTACATTAGACGAAGTGGACTTTAGGGCCTTAGGTATGTCTGACTTCACGTGGAATGATCTGCTCCTTGAAGGTAATCTGATTGACTTAGACTATATAGACGATATTGTCATTCTGTTTAGATACAGTGTGAAAACTCTGGGTATTCTGAACACGTTGAGCAGAAATCTGAGTATGTTTGCCTGGCATGCGTTTCGCACCCGACAAATGTAAGGTGATACTCCAGGAGTGATATGCTGAGATTTCTCCCAATTTACTAATAGGGGAGGAGTAGCTGAATGTGTCAACCAATTCACCTACTTGTGGAGTGGTTGCTGACGGAATCTCAGCTCGGACACTGAAGTTCCGTTTGGCATTTGCCAACTTGAGTCACCTATAGCGCCGACTGGCGAGATATCCAACTACTTAAAAAAGGGCAAGTATACTTTGTTGTCGTCTCCTCTTTCCTGCTATGTGGCTGACAAGCGTTAAAAGTAGGAGACGTGAAGCGGTTATTGTTTTTCGACCATAGGTGTCTTCATAACATTGCTAGCGTTTGGTGGAATCATCGTACTAACCATATTGGCACTTGACAACTTGAATCACCTATGGAGCCGACTGGTGAGATATCCGAATATCTATCAGAGCATGAGCATGCTGCACTTCAGTTCGTTATCTCATCTTATATGGCTGTGAAACATGGCGGTTGAAATTAAAAGATATAAAGTAGTTGCAGGGTTTTGACCACAGGTCTCTTTATAGTATTGCTTGTATGGTCACCCTTTTCTCCTTCATTAGATAAACAACAACTGGCCATTAAACATCACGATATCTCATCGCTGATTTTAGGGCACGTGGATAATTATGGACATGAATTCATCTTTGATAATGTAGAAATGGTGGACGGAGAGAGGAAGTACAAAGAATATTAGACGATTCCTAGAAGCTTGGCATTTAAGTCAGTCAGTCGGCAATCACTATCCTTATCGACATGAACCTAATCTATCAGTCAATAAGAAAAATGATAAACGACAAAAAGATCAGAGGTCAAACAGAGGAACACTCAACAGGAAAATCTCTACAGCCAGTCATTGACATAACAATCAAAGCAAACAACCAATCACAAACCAGCTGATCAGGCCAAGCTACTGAATCACTCACGAAAAGATATTGACAGCTCATGTCATACTAAAGTTAGTACTAATGATGAATCGGTCTAGAAAAACGATGAAAGCTTCACGTTCACACAAATCAAGCTAAGAGAACTCAGAATAGCCAATATCCGGAAAACAGTGTTCAATATCATGGCATACTTGTTTAAGACTCCGTTTTCATCTAAAACCTGCTATAAGAACCCATGATCGAAAAACACTTGAAAGCGTAAATGAAATTTATCTAAGTGCCGACTAAGAAACACCTTAACCAGAGTGATGCAGCAGTCAGTCTATTCGCCAAGAAATGGAGACAATCAATGCAGAACTCCACATACCAGTGTGTCCCTTCAACTTGCCACACTCCACAGTAGTATACAAAGAACACATGGATAGAAAGGGATACTGATACCGAATGGTGTGAGAGAGTAACCAATCTAGAGATACAGGTTAGTGTGAATATTCAAGCTTTAGAAAATGTTAAAAGGTGAATACATCTGTGCTACTGGGACCATTTTTCAGCCGTCACAAAGATATCTCAATCACTCATTCCTATCACCTGGGGGATTCTAAAGAAATCCACTTTTACACCGACTGATTTCAATAAATATGTCTGAATAGATACTCGTAACATCTATTGAAATCGATAATGATAAAAACTTACCAAGTTTATTTTTTCGTAACATATCATACCAGAGATCATGTTGATTGATTCTTGCAGTAAAGTTACGCTTTCTACAATGAGAATAACTATATTATGAAGTAGAAGATAGGTAGGCAGTACCACATGATGGCCACATCAGTGCAACACTGATATCAGAATCCTCATAATCATTATAATTTAAATGTAAAACAATTGGTTCCCTTTATAAACTTCGACAAAACAATAAGAAGACGTAAATTGTCTGAACCGTGTAATGTGCATTTGCGCAACACATTTCGAACTATCTGATCACACACGTACTTGTCATAGGTATTTATATAAAAACTCATGAAGATAAGGGGTGAGAAAATAAATAAAAAGGGGTCAGGTAGGAAGGCTGACTTAAAGGCTGAATAACAATGAAAATCAATAGAGCGAAGAAATAATAGTACATCGAACTTGGTTTTCAATAGTTGAATTTACCAAGGAAGGTTTAATGTGACAACAAATTCCATATTAGATTTGTTTATTTGATATAAAGCGCACAGTGATACAGTATTATTTACTTGATTACGTTTCGAGCATAAATTATTACTGCTCATAATCATATCAATGTAATCACACTTCTTTCAATATCTGATTTTATAGTCCTCTCACCTGATCTCTCTTTGTTTTTTTGTTTTTTGATTGGTAGTAAAGTTTTCCATATCTCTGGTATGGGTGTTGCGTCATTTCTATTACATGTGTTGGGTATGGATTCGATGAACGCAGATTCAGTAATTAATCTCTCTCTCCATCTAGCTATATTAGACTTAAGTACAGTGGTTTTGTCCCATCCTATTGTGTGGTTGTGTGTTAATGAATGTAATGCAATGGCGGAGTGTTTTTCTAGGTTATTGATCTTATTGGGGTCTGCCGTTCTATGTTTAGCTAAATTCGTATGTTCTGTTAATCTAACTGACCCCGACCGGCTAGTTTGACCTATGTATTTGATCTCACAGTCATTATATGGAATTTGGTAGATTATATTATATAAAGAGAGATCAGGTGAGAGGACTATAAAATCAGATATCGAAAGAAGTGTGATTACATTGATATGATTATGAGCAATAATTTATGCTCGAAACGTAATCAATTAAATAATACTGTATCACTGTCCGCTTTATATCAAATAAACAAATCTAATATGGAATTACATTCTACCACAGTGCCCAAATTTTTCACTTATATTAGTGACAACAAATTGTTTATGAATACATAAAGGTGGTTTCAACTTCCTAATAGCTAAGGCTTCAACAAATTTCAGGATCCCTCCCCAACATGTTTTGTAAATAGGTGTAAAGGAAGTAGCCACATCAATCTTGTGACCTGTCTCAACGATATGTTTAGCGATCGAAGAACTTGGACGTCTGCTACCAATATTTATGGGTTCAGGTGATTTAATTTGCTTCTGAAGCCACTTTGGAATATGTTCCAAGGCCCTTGCTTGGATGGATCTATTAGTCCTCCCTATGTATGTGTCACCACACGTACATTTGAATAGGTAGATACAGCGGGATGTGACATTATCGTTCACATGCTGTGGGGGTTTGGGGGAATATAAGGGATTCGTGGTTTCGATTACTCGAACCCTGGCTGCATAATAAGTCCTTCTAACAGCAGCGTTGAGTCTCTACTTAAGGATTGCATTGTGAGAGTCACCTTTGTATGGAAGGCTGATGAAGACATCCTTCTTTGGGACTGACTGCAGTTCTAGTTTCGACGCTCTGCTGATTTTATTCTGCCTGATAAATAATTTAATAATTTAAAGGATGACAAGAATGACTGCAACATGAATGAATTCTTGAAACATCTAGGTGATTCGAAGACAAATCTCTAGTATAATCCCATTTTAATACATTAGGATTTTCAGGGATTGAATTGAACTGTACATTTGATTCAACAGTACATCCCAATGTTTGACTAGAGGAAATATTCTCTTCTTTCTCAGAAGGCTTTTAAAAAAGAAACACTCAACGGGAATAGCTAAAGTTTCGTATACACAAATATACTACTTATGCTTGTAATAGTAGTGTAAATCGTGGAAAGAAAAGAAAACTGCTTACTTGTATTGACACTGTTGGTGTAGGTGTGGCTTGTAAATTATCCGTATCCGAAGTGAAACATTTTGCCTCATGCGACATCAAAGTTCCTCTATTCACATCTATGATCAGGTCAATAGATGATGTAGTATTTGTAATACAACTCTCGACTTTTCTTCTACAGTCATCTATGATCGTTGAATGCATAAACTTATTCGGTGTAAGTGAGAGGAATGATGTCTGTAAAACCGAAAAGAAAGAAACAAAAACGGTAAAAAGGTCTAGAAAAATTTTGAAGGAATGAGAAACTTATGGAAACCTTGATACAGACGGAATTTAAAGCAGAGCGCCATCTCACTTTCACTCATTACCCCCATCATAGATTCGATGTGATCCATCAAGATTTCCAATATCTTCGCATTTGTAAACAAGGCGTATCTGTAACTCCGATGTAATTGATATCCTTTCACAGGTTCGATTCCATGTCACTCAGTGATTGAAAACAAACAACCTTGACATCATTCATCTTATCTTGTCTAAGTGAAGAAAACCTGAATCCGAAGAAAATACACCATCATTTCATAATTTACCTCTTTATGGTTAGTCACATAATCTAATACACGTGTTTTGTCCTATTCAAGAGTCGTCAGCTTCACATACCTACATTTCAGAGAGTGATAGAGTTCCCACTGACACTCAAGTTATGCAGTCAACGTTTCAATTGGCTACTGAGACACAAGAATCAGCTCTTGTTCAAAGGGTATCAATTTCTACAGTTGATTCATACTTATTCTATCCCTATTCTCAAATCAGAACCAATTCATTGACATATGTTGGGATAAAAACTGCTGTGAAGTAGGTAGTCTTGTAAAATATTGATAAGATGTTATTAGCTGACCCTCCAGTTTCGAATCGATTAAAGATACTTCTTTGCTGTTATTCAAAGTAAACGGTTTATATTTGCTTAGAAGACACTCATGTGATTTGAGCAACTTCTTGGTTCAACTTTTTACCTAGTGGATAAAAGATTTCATGAGTAGTACTAAAACAGACAGATACAATCAATGTAGAACCTCGCTCATTACTGCATCACTCCAACTTACCACACACTTCACAGTGAATCAAAAATGGGTAATACCGAAGTAGATGAAGTGATTTGACAGAGTAAACAACCTGAAGATAAACGTTAGTACAAACAGTCAAACTTCAGAAATGTCAAGGAGTGAATATATTTTCTCCACTGTTACTGATTTTCATTCATGTCACCAAGACTACTCTATCATTGATTCTTTTCGTCTCGAGGATCCCTAATCAGGGTGTCTACATCTCCTCATATGGCTCAGATAGCTATGAACCATCCTCCAACCTAATTCTTCTCCCTCTAGCATCGCATGTCAAAATAAGGTGTAGTGGTTCAACATATGCAGTACATGTCCAGGCCATCTCAGTCGACTAAGTTTCACAATTTGATCGATCTGCTTGCCTGTATTGCCTGGTACCCTTCATCTGACCTCAACATCGCTTACATAGTGATTTCATCAAACCTGAACAATACTACGAAGACACCTATCATCAAAAATCTGTAATCGCTTCATTTCTTCTACTTTCAACAAACATGTTTCATACGACAGAATTGACTGCAGGATAATATACTCATCCTTTGATAGATAGTCGGATATCTCACCGACTCCATGAATGATACAAGTTGACAAATATCTCAGAGAGACCTTCTGAACCCAAGCTGAGATTTCATCAGCAAACAGTCCATTATTCAGGCTAATGCAAAGTCATGTGTGAGCACTTCTCAGGAGTCTCATACTAAGATGACCTTCAAATTGAATTACTTCATTAACAGTTTAGTGGAGCATTGAAAATAAGCTCAATCAACTAGGATTTCATCTATTGGTTCGCCTATTGAACATACCTCTGATTCATTAGGTGGATAAGTTTTCTGAATTATTATGTGGAAGTATAACACCTTTAGGGGTTTCACGTCCATTTAGTAAAATAAAAGGATAATTAGTATACTCTGAATTATTGGTTAGTGAACTTGTTAAAGGAGTTAAACCAGATGATGAAGTTGGTGCTGGCAACTACACACCAAAATGTTAACATGTAAACGGAATTGGCGAATAGATATCCACATGATAGACATTACTTGATATTGATTCAGTATCCATCTATTAATCAAATGGAGAAGAAAAAAACAATTTAACAACAAAAATGATATGAATTCCGCCTACAACATTGATTGGTTACTTCTAAAGCAACCAACTTCATGTTGTCATGACCTGGCTGACTGCTGACCGAATTCAACCAATCATCATTTTGCAATGTGGTTAGACAAAGTAGGAATGGATCTGTGACTAATTAGTTCAGAAGGATGACTTTCAACCAAGTGAATCACGGGTTCGAACCTACACTCCACCTATCAAGGTTAGGGCAGCCGGACGATAGTAACACCAGCCCTGACACACACACATACAGTAAGTTTGGCACACTCCCCCCTACTGTATAAGTGTTCACAAGGTTGCCGAGCGCATTTCAATTCAATCCGACCAAACTAAGCTCACCACAATCGAGAGGCACTTTTCTGGATGTAAGTTGGTTGGAGGCGATCAGAAAGAAGACAGCCATGTGTCACCTAGCTTTAGTGCTTCTTGACACTCGTCAACAAAGCGTATCCACTACCGCAGGGGAACTGATTTCCTCTGTGAGAATCGACCTTGCATCGCATAGTGTTGCAGTCAGAGACGTTCAGATTGCGATTGACCTCACAATAACCACTACCGTTTTTCGACAATCCCATGTGAACGAACAAACAACCACGTAATGCACATCCGCGCAGACGGCAATGAGTTACACCTATTGTATGAAGGTTGATGATACTACTAGGATGACTGAACCTTGGTAGATAGAGCAGGACTTGAACCTGTGGCGCAATGCTTACTAATCACTTCGTTAAACCACAAAGACACAGCTCCACAATAATGACACAGAATTCAACGTACAACCGATGCTAAAATGGAGATTGAGAACAGCAAACTCAAGGGAAGGAGGCAGGTTTCAGACCTCACCGAGGGTGCATCGATTACATTTTCATCCTCCGACAGGTTCCGGAACACAGCCATATCTACCAACAAATGACGCTTACCATATTTCTTGATCTGAAAGTGGTATTTAATTCTGTCCACCATGATGTCTTGTGGAAGAGTCTGACTGTGAGGAGACTATCGAAAAAGAATACAAGGCTCATCAAAATTCTTGATTCGAAATCAAGCAACCGCGTAAGAAATTATAGAGAGATGTCATCAGAACTGACGACAACTAATGGTGTGCACCAAGGATGCCAACTACCACCATTCCTATTTAACTTCCTCATAGATAAACCAATGGACAAAATCTTACGTAGGACTGACTTCCCAATGATTGATCTACTCCTGAGAGGTTATCTGGCTGATTTGTAGTATACAGACAACTTTGTCCTCCTAGGCAAAGACGCTGATAAAATGCACTCTTCTGAACGCGTTGAGCAAAAATTTGAGTACTCTTTGCATAGATTTCGCACTTGTCATATGTAAGGTTATGCTCCAGGATTGATTTGCTGCAAGTAGTCTCAGTTTACGGATAAGCTGTGAAGGTGGAATGTTTTGACTACTTCACTTACTTGGGGAGTTGCATCAGTTCAAACTGGCTGAATGCTGACAACATTTCAGCTCGGATTCAGAAGGCACGTTTGGTACTTGCCAACTTGTGTCACCTGTGCTGCCAACTGGAAAGATATTCAAGTATCTATCAAAGAAAGAATTTTATTGGGCTGTAGTTCGTTCTGTCCTCTTGTATGACCGTCAGACATTGCCATAAGCCAACTGAGATGAGCATATTGATTACAATTGTCATTTATAATAGGGAACTGTTTAGATACACATCATTTTTTACTTTCTAGAGGGTAATTCTCATGAATATTAAAATATCAAATTAGAAGGAATATGAGGAAAATCTGTGTGTACAGTATCTCTCAGTTTGCTATGCGTCAAAGACTAGTTCCCATTAGATTTTGGGATATATTACATAACAAACCATTTGACAAGTTACATGAGTGACCTGATTTTTTAATTATATTGTCAGATGAATAGTACTTCAGTTGATTGCATTGACCAATTCACTAACCTGGGAAGTCAGATCAGCCCTAATGGGCCAGTGCTCGACCAAGTCTCTGCATGGATACAAAAGGTTCGTTAGTGACTTTCCCTAACTTACACCATCTGTGGCGGCACTGAGATATTCGGTCACCTATTAAAGGTAGAGTGCACTGAGTTACATTTCGGCTTGTCCTTCTCTATAGCTGTGAAACATGACTAGAAAAAGGTAGAGGACATAGAAGCCTTCAATAGTTCGTAGAATAGGCTGTGTGCTGCGGTGTTATCATATGAGTAAAACAGTAGTCAGGTATAGAGCTCCAGGAAGAAGGAGGAAGTCAGTTGATGAGGTTGTGAATCTTCATCGACTGATATGGCTCGGACATATGTGGCATATGCCTGGTCACCGCCTGTGTCGTCCTACAATGTTAGCTGAAGTAGGTTTACGCTGGAAAAAGGTTAGATGTGGCCAGACTAAAACATGGCATCAGTGTAGGAAGTCCTTGACTGTTGGTTTCATCCTTGAAAGGGCGATAAAGACTAGCCGGTTAGGGTTCACTTGACAACAGAAACCAACAGTGGTTGCAGAATTTCGTCAAAGTGGCTCAGAAACTATGTCAGTGGTGCAGATGTATTCCCCATACATAATCCTCATCTTCGTCATCATGCTGAACCCAGTGTTTAAACATTCCTCCATCCTCTAATTGACTGCTTTCTTATGCTTTCGACCGATTCCTCTCCATTTCTCTCTCTCTCTCTCTTCACATTACTTTCTTGTTGTTTAGTGTGTCAATGAGGTGAGACAACTTGGATCCTTATGTAATAATGCCTAGTTGTATGTTGATATTGATGGTGGTGAGTGTAATCAAGTGGAAAAAATTAGGTTGATCACTGAATCTCTACCAATCAATTCAACACAGATCAAATTTAATAGGAATGATTAAAGATTGATTTCGGATACATTAGTAAATCTTATTAAGAATGAATTTATAGCCTGAAAAAGTGGTAGAAGGAAGTTGTACGAATGAGTACCCTAATATGCAGAAGTTATGAGTCATCAGTCCTCTTGAAACGTAGTCATCAAGTAAATAATACTACACTATATGTGCTATCTCATACAGATTAATCCAATTAGGAATTATATTCGACCGCAGTGGATAAATTCTCTTCTTACACGAATACAAACACTTCAAGAATCTTTCCTGTGAGTTCAACTTTTTCAAAGTGTAATTTTCAAAAATATCTACCAAATACACAGAATACATTTCAACAGTTGATATCTCTACTGGTACCGTTGAAACAGTCTTTTAATTTTAGTATGTTTCTAATGGAACCCTGCCGGGTTAACCAGTTCATAGTTATTAGCCTGTCCTAAGCCCGGATAAAGAGGAAAAGTTGGGTGTAGGGCTAGCAACCCTACCCCAGAAAACCAATCCAGTTCAATACCTAAAGAAACTTCAAAGCACAAGGAAAATATAAAAGATAAAATTAGACTTATTCCTCACTGGAATCGGAGAGACGAAATGACACCGGTTAGTGAAAGCCTTCAGGAAGCTGATTGGCTAATGTATCTTCTCTCTCTCTCTCTCTCTCGATGAAAGCAAAAGTAAGCATGGAAACATGAAATGTTCGCACCATGTTTGAACCCAGCAAGGCAGCCAGATTGCGAAGGAGGTGAGAAGGTATAGTATTGAAGTCCTAGGAATCTGCAAAAGCAGTTGGAATGGAAGTGGACTCTCCAAACTGTCAACTGTAGAGTCAATAACCTACTCCGATATTCTCACTCAGAAGACAACCACCAGCACACTGAGTTTTGGAGTAGCTATCACGATATCCCCAAGAGCATCGAAGGCTATCACAGTGGGAACCAACCTTCTCCACAATCAGGATCACTACATTAAGGTTCAACTCAAAAGGAAGGAAAGTCACAATCGTACAATACAACACTACGCACCTACAAATAATGGAGATCAAGAGAAGAAGGAGGTATTCTACAGACAACTGCAATCAGCACTGGACAAGACCCCACCCCAGTTGGCGACATCAAAATTCTAATGGGCGACATGAATGCCAAAGTGTGAGGAGCGGACAACATAGGAAGAGAACTAACCATGGGTCGAGAAGCGCTAGGTGAGGTAATGAACGAGAATGGAGAATTGTTTGCAGAATTCTGTGCATTCAACGATTTGGTGATTGGAGGCTAGGCAGTGTATTCAAGCACAAGGATACACTAAAAATCAGATCGACTTCATCTCAATGTGAAGAAAGTGGAGGTGCAGTCAGCCTACTGGACTCAAGGTCAGATCAAGAAGGGGAACAGATGTAGGTTCACACCACTCACTATCTAGTGCAATGAACCTACCTTCAAAATCAAGTTGAAAGCCTTTAAAGAAGTTGGTGATAGACCACAGTTGAAGTTCAACACTCGTAAACTGGAGGACGAAACTACCAGGGGCATTTTTACGTCAGCCATCAAGACAAAATGGGAGATATCGAGCAACATAACTGAAGAAACCTGTGTGGAAGAACACTGGAAGTCTTTGAAAGATATGTGGAAGGAAACCTGCACAACAGTATTAGGAAGGAAGAAGGTGGAAGACAAGGAAGGAATGGATCTCGATGGACACATGGAAGCTGATAGAGGAGAGGAGGATGGTGAAGCAGAAGATAAACCAGTGCAAGAATGCTCAACGACAAGAGCAACTGAGCACAATGTATAAAACACTGAACAAAGAAGTGAAGAAGAGTGCACGGAAAGACAAAAGACACTTCTAAGACACACTTGCAAGTGAAGCAGAACAGGCTACCGGCTGGCAGAAGAGACAGAGGCCTGACAAGATTGTGTCAAATAACCAGGTTA